ACCGCTGACTAAAGAAAGATTTTCATGAAGAGTTCTGTGAATCAGAAGGAAAGTGAGCTTGAGATAAAGCCTTCCGAGAAGTAGGGATAGCCCTTTCCACAGAAGGTCGTCTTGTCCATCCCCCTGTCTCCTCTAGGCCAGTGCTACTTAGCAAGTACCTCTGAACCCCTGCCCCTGTACATAGGGAGACACACACACACACACACACACACACAAACACACACACACACCTATATAGAGTCAAGATGTAGACACAATCTGCTCGAACAGCAGAGCCAAGATTTTCCAGTGTGAGTCACAGGAGATGATAAGAATTAACTCTCTCAATGCCATTTTACAGCCTATGGCCTTTTACCAATGATAGTATGATCTCAGTAGGAAGAACAGGGTGGACTCTGAGAGTGGACTCACTTGGTTTGAGTCACAAATTTACTGCTCACTGGCTGCATGCACCTAAACAAGTCCCCTAGCTGTTCTGACCCATGGGGCCAGCAGGGCAACTGGGAAAAATGCTTCTGCACCAGGGACATGAACTGAAGTGCCTACTGGACCAGGTGGGACATGTGAGTGATGTGAGGTAGGCGTAAAAGTAATTAAAATAAAAATAATAGTAACAATAAACAGTGGGAGTGACATGGACCAGAAAGAGCCCGCCCACCCACAGGTCCAGCTGGATTCTGCTATGTGAGCGTGTGCTCCAGGGAAGCCAGAAATGTAAGTTTATTATGTAAAAATCTCCTGATTCTTTATTATTGGCTTAAAATTTTTACAACAGGCTAAACAAAAGCAGGCTATAAGCCAGACTGCCGACCTACCAAATCTACGAGCTGAGGGATAGTGCACAATCTTTTTTATTCCATTTATGCCATCTTTCAAGAAATCTGTGTGTTCCTGCTAGCTTTATTTTTCTGAAACTGTTGTTAGGAAACATTTTCTCAAAATCCCAGAAGAGAGGATAAATTTTGTGCATTTTTTAAATTAGAGAAATTAACTATATCAGAAAAAGACAACACATAATGGAGGAGCTGAATTTAATCTTGACTCCAGACAAAAAGTGAGGAAGGATGTAGATAGAAAACAGAATGGCACATAACTTAATGCTACAGTCATTTAAAATTTTGTTTATGAGGAAATTTTAAGGTGGGAGAGAATGCTTACATTTGCAGTTTACAGGAAAAGAACAGAATTCAAAATCGGATATACAAAAATTTTCTAAATAATATCTAAAGCTAATGAGTTTATAGAAAAATAAGGACAACCTTTCTGAAAAACAATTTATCAACGTCCATCAAGAACTTCAAATACGTTCTTATTCTTTGACTAAATTATTCCATTTATTACTCTATGAATTTAATCCAATGAAATATTCAGAGGTACACACAGGTATTTATGTCCAAAAATATATATCATAACATTATTTGTAATACTTTTAAAAATTTTAAACAACTTAAATGCCTTAAAAAGAAAATACAGCTATTAAAAATCATTGTTTTTAAATACCATTTAATGTAATTCACAATATAATGATGAGTGAAAAAATATTTATACATACACAAGAAAAAGACTAGAAAAAATATAACAAATATTTACAGTAGTTACTCTGGGGCTAGATTATGGGTAATTTTTCTATTTTCCCTCATGGTTTTTTTCATTTCAATTTTTATGATGAGTACATAATACTTTCACAATCAGAAAAAAAATATTTATTTGAAGATTAATAAAAAATATTATTTTGAAGATTATGTGATAAGAAAACATTCAAACTATGTTGTAGAACACAGGATAAGAAACTATATACCAAGATTCCTATTTTTATAAATTTGGTGCTTTTTAGCTTTTTTAGAATGAACAAAACTTTTATAATCAGAAAAATTAGATTTTAATCTTGACTCTGTCATGAAAATGCACAGACAGCATTTTAAGTATTCCATTTATTCCATCTTCCAAGAAATCTGTATTTACAAAAAAGAATAAGGAAGATCTACATGGATGGAGAATGCATTCTGCAACATGTTAGGTAGAGTGTGATACCATTTTTGTTTTTAGACATTATATATTTGTCTACCTGCATGTACATAAAAAATATTTACAACAGATATATTAAATATATACTTTAGACTCTAAACCTTATAAATATAAATTGAATAATATGGGTCTGGAGAACTAGTAAAATCTTACTTCACTTTTTATTTTATATATGTATTTTATGTATAGTCTGGACTTTTCTAAATGAACATTATAATTTAAAGAACAGATACATAATTATTTTTGGTTAACAGTTTTTTGTTTTTAGAGAAGTTTTAGGTTTACAGAAAAATTGAGCAGAAAGTACAGTTTCAATATAACAATTTTTTTAAAACCCAAAACCACCACAATGCCTTTACTAGACAAAGCACTGTCAACAGTGTTTGGTCTTCTCCAAAGTGGCTACCAATGACCCACGCAGAGGTGAGGGGGCTTCCCTATGCTGCCCCTCCCACTATAAAGTGGAGTTTATTTCCCATCCCTTGAATATGGCTGGCATTATGATTTGCTTTGACTAAGAGATTGTGACCAAAATAACATACCTATTGTATAGGTATAATTATGTTTATACCTATGCATAACAATTATGTTTAAAACTTTTATATATTTACCATAATTTGTGGTAGGACCATATGTTGCCTTTTAATTTTTTAAAAATCATTACAAAAGGAATACAAATTTGTTATTAAAAAAAAAATTAAGCTTAAAAAGTAGACAATGCAAGTCTCTCTTCCATCTTCCAGAACCATACATCAGAGTTAATCACTCTTATTGTTTTTACTTTTATTATCAAGAAACACAAAGTGGCAAATTAAGGAGGAAAAAAGTACATCACAAAGAAGAGTGAAAAGAATTTCCTCTACAAAACTGTCCCTAATTTACAGAAGTCCCTATGTTGGGAGACAATTCTCTATGGGTCTCTTGTGAGCAGGGGCACTTTTTCCTAGACTGTGTTTTCAAAGATGTTTGTACAGCAAATAGCCTTGAAAAGGAGAGACAAGGTCCCCCTCTGGAGCAAAGCACAAACATGCTTATTGCCCATTATAAAATATTTGGGTTCCCTAACTTGGAGTTTCTCTCCTATAATGCAAACCACCACATGTGGAGGGTCAGGTGACACATCATCCTGTGGGAAACTGGGGCTCAGGGAACCAATGTAAAATAATACTCTGGCTACTGCTATCTCCCTGGTTTCTGATCCAGGATCCCTATGTCTTCTGCCAGCATCCATGACAGGGAGACAGATAATTTGTTCGCCTGCAGATCCTTCGCAATTCTTGACACATGTTTTTGTGAACATGTTTCTTTAAACCACTTTTTAACTACAAAATGTGTCAGTTTTTCTCACCTCCAACCACTAGCCTATCAACCAACTGCTTTTGTACATCTGTTTATGCCCTGCCATGAATTTTTTCCACCTACTACTGATAGAGACAATCACCCCTATCATCAATCCTCCAGGGTTCACAAAATTTATACATGCATTGTCTCCCTTCTGAGGAAAACGAAACCTGCCTCTCTGCAAAGAGCATGCTATCTTCAGGGAGAAAATTAAGTGAGGCCAAGTTCTAAGAGTAAAAAACCATGCACCTGCAAAATGGCACAGCAAAAGCACAACTGGCAAAAGAATCCATAGGAAATGAAGTAGAAAAATGCTTCAACATCCCAAGGTCAGGATCTCAGAAGTGAACAATCCTCCCCTCTGGCCGCAAGCATTAGAACGGAAACGCTGACACTAGATTAATCCAGAAAAGGAAAATCAATCTGCCCTACAGACTGTGCAGACAGCTCTGCTGTGTGAGTGGACAGCATTTCTAGGTCTACTGGCAGGCAAGTTATACCAGAGCCTTTGGGGATTTGTCCTGTGTCTCATCTTCTGTCTGGAAAGCATGATCTGCAGAATAATACTCTTGTAGATCAAAGAACGGGCCTTAGGCTGCAGCATGACAACAGTTGACTAAAAAAAAAAAAAAAAATTATTGAGAAGGACATACAACTTAAAAGTACCTGAATTTCTTTCAAAGTCTTTACCATTAGGATTGATTCTCATTGGCTGGGATGAAAACCGCTTGAAGACTCAGGCACAAGGTAACCTCTCTGAGAGCTTCGAAAGGAAGAAATGTGAAAGAGAAGAACATATAGGAACTCACCCAATGGTCGGGCTGATGTTGTGGTCAAAGTGATCCTGGACAAACCGGCACACAATGCTCGATTTCCCAACTCCGGTGTCCTGGAAAAGAGGGAGAACACAGCCATGAAGCCCAAGGGTGCCAATTCTACCGAGTATAAACAGAACCAGAGGATTGGAGAGGTCATCTCTGGCTGTTGGGAGGGGCGGGGGGACTTTCCTCTATTTCTTACTAGTACTTCCTACAATGAAATTGTATTGCTTCACAGAAAGAAAAAAAGTATGATAAAAGTAAGCTTTAGAAACATGTCCCACATATATACAATAATTAAACTAGAACTGGCATGTTCACAATACATGTATTTCTAGAAGCCTGGAAACTTTGATAGAGGTCTAGAGGAGAAATATAGCAACACACTCTAGTAGAGACAGAACTGATTTTGTTCAGAACCTTAGCACTCAAAAAATATGTAATCTATTTTTCTAAGTATCACCCTGTGAGCCCTACGAATTCTAATTTCTGTATTTCTAACATTTTCTCATTAGAACCTGATGGTTGCATAATAATCTCCAGTTTTGCTTAATTATATAAAGGTCTCACCTCAGCTCTTTCTCTGTTAAATAATTCTTTAAAGCTAATTAAGATAAAGGTCTAGATACACACTGGAAATCAAATACAGGTATTTCTATCCAGTCTCTTCCAAAACCCTTGCAAAATAATGTAAAGAATAAAATATACAAACATACAAGGTCAAAGAGATAGGGGAAGAGACAACACTAGATGAGTGATGTCAATGAAAAGCACTTGGCCCAATGGTCACTGAGAAAGAAGAGCTGGAGCCTTAAGTGCACGCGAAGAGGAAAGCCAATGAGAGGCAAATCAATTCGTGCCACAGAATTCCAAATATACCAAGAGCTGGAAGACAAGACTGAAAAAGGAGTCAGTGAAAGGCTCACACAAACCTCCCTTTGGCACCTCAGAGGACAGACCCTCCCGCATTCCCGGAGCAAATGGGAGGGTGACTCTCTAAGAAACCTGCATCCCACAGGGGCTGGGCTCGGGGACTTCAGATACAGCTCAAGAAGCACCAGATGTCACTGCCTTGTGTGAGCCCAGGCAGAAGAGGCAGGATTCCCCTCTGGGTAAGAGGAAAAACTCTGCGGAACCTGAGTCTCCCAAATGAGTTTCTTTGGAGTCTCCCAACTAAAGGCCATGTGTGTATCAGTCGACAAGCCTCAGTGCAAACAGAGCTTTCAGTATACATTTTAATCTTTCAAAAAGATAAACACTCAGCTAAGAAATACCAGACATTTATACCCACACACACAAAGAAAGCATAGACTATTTTAAAGATCATTCAGAAAGTCAGCTAAGAAATACCAGACATTTATACCCACACACAAAAAAAAGCATAGACTATTTTAAAGATCATTCAGAAAGACTGACCTCTTAGATATTTAAAATATGATGGTAGAAATGGAAATTTCAAAGGAAGAGTTACAAGGCAAAGTCAAGAGATTGTCCCAAAAGTAACAGCTACTCTTCTGAGAGGGGTGGCAAGGCCAGAAGAGGTTCACAGGCTGCAGACACAGATAAGTCCTCATCAATATGTGCTTATCTCAAAGGATGATGGAGACATTTTGAAATCTCTAAGTGAAAGCAAATCAAGACCTATTTAGCCCAAAAAGAAAAAAATGGTCCTATAGTTCTCTTATATTAAAGGTATAACTCTAAAAGTCTAAATATCAAAGAGAAAATGTTAAAACTCAGAGAAACGTGCTTTCTTTAGACACTAAAATATGAAATAAGACTTGAAATATCAACTGGCCATCTGAATTATTTTTACTCTTTCTCACTCCTATTCTTAGGGACAAGTCCAGCAAACCTGGGGCAAGAGTGGCATTAGCTGGTGATATTCATCAGAAAACCATTCTCCAAAAGATCTTCCATCCTAGCGAGAGCTGCCTTCACGGTTCTGAGCCATAATAAAACAACTGCATCAAAAGCCGTTTATCTGCAGTGCGCAGATCAATGTGCAGAGTTCAAAGAGATGACAGAATTAAAACATCAGCTCCTCAGATTCCAAATCAATGCCACTGCTATTTCTGAGCTGCATCCTCAGTATGGATTCCAGCTAATGTTCCCGTAGTCCCCTGAACCACGACTCAGGTTTTTTCATCTTAGTTGCTTTTAAAACCCCCTGTATGAGCAGCTCCTGGCCATCCTTTGGTCCATGTAACCTCAGAGAAACTGAAAACTGATGAATTGTGCTGCCCTGCCTTGAACAAGGAAAAC